GCTGTTATCCTATGATAGATAATGCACTTGCATCTCTTACGAGCATGAGATTCATAGGATATCTACTTCAAAACTTCAATTCCTGTTAGTCAATATACACGTCTGCATTAAAACACCTATAAATACTATACAGTCAATAAATAATTCAGAATCACCAAATGTGATTGTAACTAATAAAACCTGATACCCAGTAAACTCTGAAGAAGTCTTACCCACTCATACAGTATATAAAAATGAAGAGCAATTGCTCATAATTTTATTTTGATGGCTACTCATTAGCATTTTCCTGATTAGGAAAGTAATGGAATTTAGTCTGCTGTATTCAGATAATGTTAGCAAACGTGAATGTAATTTCAATCTTTTTTCCTAGTCTAAACAAGGACCTCTGATCTTCTCTGTCCTAATTGAAGGATTTCTGCCAAGCCAAAGACAAAGAATCAAGGTTCATGGATGTGAGAAATAGGATGAACTCCTCTGGGCAAGGCCACTCCCTGCCTTTTACCTACCTTCTCACATTCAGCTGGTGCTGTCAAACCTCACCTTGTGTTGCGTTTTGTAATCTATAAAGTATTATTTCAGGCAAATGATTTCTGGGGACAAAATACGTGTATGTGAGAACAAAAACACAGGCAAGGAGAGAGAACTGTGTATGGAAAAGGAAGCCCAAACAAGAAATGAATGATCCCTGAAAAATAAGACTTCTTCTGGGTCACATCTATGCTAGGGCAGTTACTCAAACAAAACAAAAGGACATAAAGATTGAGCTACATACAGTTAAAACTAACATACCTAGCCAGAGAGAAAATTGTACCTTACTCAGTGCTGGTTCTGGTTTGCATGTGTTTTAGCCCCATGTCTCCTCTTACTTCTTATTCTACTTTCTGAAAAAAGCAATTTCAACTTGCATCTACCCAGGAGAAAAGTTACAATTTTGAAGATGTTAACACCAAGCACATGATGAAAGTTCAGAAGCTCAGAGCAGGATTACATTTACACTCAGATTTACAAAGTGCTTCTGAATAAGAGCCTTCGCACTGTCATGAAGATGTTTGTGTAGATTCCCTAGCTGGAGATATATTAAACAACAGTAACCCTCAGGAGAAGCAGTCAGTAACAGCGCAAGAAACAAAAGCTGGTGTGTTAGCTTCAGTATTTGAATAGCACCAAAAAATAAAAGTACGGACTCAGGTCTAGCCATCAGCTGTACAAATGAGGTATAGCTACTCTGACATGAGGCAAGGAGAGCAGTGCAATGGAACGAACTTTCCATAGTACTGACATTCTTGTTCACACCCCTGTTCTCTACTGATAGGGAGTAGGGAATAGAAGGAAGGAGCAAAACTAAGAAGCAAAACACTATGTCAGTCGTCACAGTTTTGTATCATACGGGTCTAGTAAAATTATTATTTTGATTGGATTGTTAATGTGTTTTTTGACGATAACAGTTTGGAATATTCAGACATTCAAGTTCATCCTGCATGACATTCTCTTAAGTGTATTAATAGGACTGAGCATTAACATAGACCTTCTTAAATGGATCAAAAATCACACACTCATAAGTTCTTGTGTGGATTTATGATCCAAACAAAGTATTTCCAGGAGAGCTCTGGAAATATCACAGCAGAGCTCTATCCTCTGACAAATACTAGTCAAGTTCTTTAGCTGTAATTAAAGGGGAAAAAAACGTTTCTTCTTTCTGTAAACTTAAAAAAAAAAAAAGGGATTATGAAGAAAGGTTATGAGGCAGAAAACAGTTTCAGCTTCATGTACAAGAAAAAAAACAGGCTCTGAGCTGTCTATTTCCCTCAGGGGTCAGGGAAAACTCCTTGGTTGTTGGCTGGTGCCATGAAAACATTGCCCAGGAAAAGGTTGGGAAAAAAGGGAAATCACGTGTTATGAGTAACTAGGAAAGCAAGAGAGAACAAAAGGAAGAAAATCAATACGCCACTGCCTACGTAGTGCTTAGCCTGACCTTAATCCTGGTTGCAGTCTGGTACCTCCAGACAGAGCTGAACTGAAAGACCTTCAGAGAAATCCAGCAAGGAAGCTCAGAGCTCGAATGGCTTCCACAGGAAAGGTCTACAACATCCTGAGAGGCAGGGAGAGAGCAGAGAGCAATCGTTCGCTCTTTTCCAACAGAGGAGCAAGGGCCAGATACAGCTAGTGGGAGCAAGCAAATGAGGGGAGGTGTTTTTTCTTACAGCAGAGCAGACCTGTTTTAATGCCTTGCAAACGGGTGTTGTAAATGCAAAACACTTACATGGGTTCATGGTGAGATGGGAAAGTACCTGAAAGAGAGCCACTAAGGACTCTCAGTAGATTGTAACAGACTCAGGTGATCTCAAGAGCTAAAAACAGTTGCACATGGAGGAAGGTATTAGGGGCCTTTCTTCCTCATTATTTAATGTGACAGAATTACCAGAAAGTGGTAAGTTTGTCTGCCCAATGTCCCTCATCCTACTTGTTTTTATTGTTCTCAAAACACCAATATTCCTAATTCTGCCTCCAAAAAGTTACTGCAAAGTAACTACATCGTGCTTTCTGGTTTTCACCTCTATTTTCCCACTGGGTTTTCAATGACTTCTGGGACACATGCAATTACAGAGCTATCCTCACCCCACCTGCTCCTCTGCGTACACAAAGAGCAAGTAGCTCTCAGGACAGCCAGCTTGCATTCATGTCTATTACAGACAATAGAGGCAATGCAGAGGTGGTTCTTGTTAACTTAAATACATGCTGTGAAGTTGTAAATACTGGCTGTAGCAAGGTTGCTGTTGTCACACTACTTTAAGCACACAAAGCAAGTTCTGCAGGAAGAAGTGGAATAATTTATTATTGACAACAATTAATTCTGTGAAGAAAAACAGGCAGGTTTTTTTGCACAAAAGTGCTTCTTAATCTGTAGAAACTATGCTCAAAACCTTGCTTGTTTTTCTCCAAATACACCAGTTACTCTCACAAAGCACATTCACATTCTCCCCTGACCTTTACCTCAAGTGGTACAGGTTAAACTGTAGTGAGTGACAGGAAGGGGAAAAAATCAGACTGAAATTAAAGCTCTTTGTGAAACATTTACTTCAAATTTCACACTTCAAGAACTTGATCAAGGGAACCGCAAATGTTCCATTAAACCACAAATGTTTTTAATCAAGTTAATGTGTTAAACTTATAAGGCAGGGACTGGGGGGCAAAATCCCTCTCACTATAAGAGAAGATCAGGTTCAAGACCATCTGAGGAACCTGAACATACTATGTCTATGGAACCCAATGAGATGCATCCCAAAGTCCTGAGGGAATTGGCTGATGTAGTCAACTTACTGCTGTGCCTGGTGAAGATCATGGAACAAATCCTTCTAGAAGCTATACTAAGGCATATAGAGGATAGGGAGGTGATTCAAGACAGCCAGCATGGCTTCACCAGGGGCAAGTCCTGCCTGGCCATCTACGATGGAGTGACCACTTCAGTAGACAAGGAAAGAGCCACTGATGTCATCTATCTGGACTTCTGTAAGGCATTTAACACAGTCCTCCACAACATCTTTCTCTCTAAATTGGAGAGATATGGATTGATGGGTGGACTATGTAATAAGGAATTAGTTGGATGGTTGCATCCAGGGAGTAGTGGTCAACAGCTCCATGTCTGGATGGAGATCAGTGATGAGTGGCATCCCTCAGGGGTCTGTATTGGGTACTATTTAATATTTTCATCAATGAAACTGACAGAGGGATCGAGAGCACCCTCAGCAAGTTTGCAGGGGACACCAAGCTGAGTGGTGCTGTTGACATGCCTGAGGGACGGGATGCCATCCAGAGGGACTTGGGCAAGCTTGAGGAATGGGCCCGTGTGAACCTCATGATGTTTAACAAGGCCAAGTGCAGTGTCCTGCATCTGGGTCAGGGCAACCCCTGGTATCAGTACAGACTAGGGGGTGAAGGGATTGAGAGCAGCCCCGCTGAGAAGGACTTGAGGGTACTTGGGGATGAAAAACTGGACATGAGTGTGCTCGCAGCACAGGCGGCCAACTGTATCCTGGGCTGCATCAAAAGCAGCGTGGCCAGAAGGTTGAGGGAGGAGATTCTGCCCCCCTACTCCGCTCTGGTGAGACCCTACCTGCAGTGCTGCATCCAGCTCTGGAGCCCTCAGCACAGGAAAGACATGGACCTGTTGCAGCGGGGCCAGAGAAGGGCTACAAAAATGATCAGAGGGATGGAACACCTGTCCTGCGAGGAAGTTGGGGTTGTTTAGCCTGCAGAAGAGATAGCAATGGGACAAGGGGTGACAATTTTAAACTAGAAGAGGGTAGATTCAGACTAGAATAAAGAAGAAATTTTTTACGATGAGGGTGGTGAACCACTCGCACAGGCTACCCAGAGAATTGGTAGATGCCCCATAACCCTGGAAACGTTCAAGGTCAGGTTGCACGAGGCTCTGAGCAGCCTGATCTAGCTGAAGATGTCCCTGCTCATTGCAGGAGGGGTTTGGACTAGATGGCCCTTTTTAAAGGTCTCTTCCAACCCAAACCATTCTATGATCCTATAAACCACCACTACTATTCTGGCCACTGTGAATTTATATATATACTTAAGGAAGTCCTTCACAACTTAAATTTTACTCTGAAAGTTCTGGATTGTTTTAAAATTCTCCTGAAGTACCCAAAATATCCCTTTCCAGAGATACTGATACTCAGGTCCTGGATTGAACACCTTAGTTGAGGTTATTTTACAGCAGAGCAGCAAAGTTTTGTGGAACAAGTGAGACTGAGAGACTGCCCAGAAACATTCTCCTCCAAGTTCTTCCACACCCATGTGGCAGCACCTCCAGAAAACACTTTTCTCTTTGTTCATGAGGGTTCTAAACCTCTGTAACAAAACTTCAACATCCTCCCCACTGAAGCACTGCCGCTGTTATTATGGATAGCAATGCAAAGATATTAAAAGAAAACAGTCAGATATATTTGGAAGCTAAAGGTCACAATACACAGGAAAAGAAAATACTTTACCATGTACATGAGACTGTTGGAAACTTTTTCCTGGTGCAAAGTGGAAATTTCCAGCGACCTGCAGGAGACAGTAATCTTTCATTAAAAGGTCTGAATCTATATAAACAAAGCAGTCGCACTGGTGCAAGGATTTTTAAATTTTTGTTTAATCAAGATATACACCAAGCAACTAATTTTCATAGGTGGCAATACCAGCAGATATTATCCTAAAAGATATGAATTACCCCTCTTCCTCACAGGCAGTCATGTGGAAAGCCCTAATTACATACTGATGTTGATAATAACTGTTCCATGCAGATTATTTTAGTGGACATAAAAATGGGAAGAAGGAATTAAGTATATTGGGAGGGAATTTGCTGCTGCAGGAAATACAAAAAGGTATCACAGAAAAGGAGTGGGGAAAGTAGCTGAGAGGGAGAAGTAGCAGGATAAAAAAACCCTTAATACAATACACAACAGTGATCCTATGTATGCATCCATGAAAATAAGCTGCATGCAAAAATAAAGCACTAAACCTACAAAAACTCACACCCAACAAACCAACCCCCAAAAGACAAACGTTAAAATTTCATCCTCAAATCTGAAAGACATATGGATATTAGGTGCCAATCCTCCCTGACACTTACTAGCAATCATACACATTCTCCCCTGGAAGATCTGAATGTCCCAAGCTCATGCGCTACATTACACCTTATGTTAACCACAGACCTGATGAGAATGGAAACGTGCAAAATTCCAAGTGCATAACAGCAGCCCCCAGAAACTTCACCAGTGACATCCACCTTTACACCCTTGCTACCTCCAGCATTCCTCTTTGAACCTTTTCTGCTCATCACACTTTGTGATAGAGGGTCCCATAACAGTTTGGTAGCCATGATGATGCTCCAGTCACAATGTCTGGCTTTGTGAGTAAAAGGTTTACTTTCCAAAAATAAAGAACGTGGTCTCCAGGAAGAGTACACAAAGATGTAAAAAACCCCAGAGTTTGAATTAAAAAAAAAAAAAAAAAAAAATTAGCATGGGCCTGACTTCTAGAAAGTATTTGTGTATCTAACCTTCATGTCCAAGTGTTCTGTGTTTGGTAACCCACCAAATGACAGCGTAGTTATACAGTTATGTCGTATACCTTGCACTACATTTTCACACACCAGCTGCAAAAACCTCTGCTGGCAAGTCCTTGGTTACTGTTATCTGCAGCATCCACTGGTGTCTCTGTTTTAAGACTAGAAGGGCAGGTGGGACAACCTAACCTCAAAGCAGCTGCCTCTCCTCCTACAGAAACCGCAGCAGAAAGACTCGCTAGCTAGAAGTAGGAAAAGCTAAGCTTCTCCAACCCACACAACAAAGCAGAGAATTAGCCCCTTCTTGCTGCTTTTCCTGACTCTCCTACTGAAGCCCTTTACAGGCACAAGTACCTTGCTGATCCCAGGGGTTATATTACAGACCTGTGAATACCTAAAGCTGGAAAAGGAGAGGAACACCCTGACTCTGCCTTTTCACAGTCATCACCATCATGCAACAGGTTCACAGCAAAATCCATCTCTCACCTTGTTGACCTCTAGGAAACCATACACTTGGCAGCCCTCATTCTTCTGCTCTTGCATTTTCTGGCTAAACCCTTCCCTCTTGCACTGCTCTATGCTATCCGGGTTCTTGAAGGCCCAGCCTCGCCGCCTGTATGCTTCTCTGACATCGTCACAAGTATTACAACACCTGCAAAAGCACAAGTACAAGCACCATGTTACCATCTGTATTGCTTTGAAGAGATGCTCCAGCTCAGGACTTGAATCCCTGGTGGATTTTTCTTCATAAAGCAGTAAGGCAAACATCAGGGACTGCACCTTGAACATTGGCCTAATGCTCCTGAAGGAGCTCAAGCTTCTTGATGTACTTTTTGAGATTTTTGCATGAGGATGCAATCTGTTTTAACGCACTGCTTGAGTCTGAAGAGGGCTTTGCCTGTCCATTTAGACAACCAAGTCACTCCTTGGCAAATAAATTTGCTACAAAAACATCATCGGTGTCCCACAGTTCTGAGCACTTTGGAACTTTCCCATGTGAACAAAGCATCTGCCTGTTTCTATTCCTCCTCTCCTGTTTTTAGGGCAAGACTGTCAACACTGGAGGAATGGCATACTTCATTATTCTTCTGCCTCTGTATAACACTTTGGTCACTGGAAAAAACAGTTTTCTTTCTTGGTTCCATGTTTTGCTGGACCAAGGAAGAAGTTGAAGACTAGAATCATGAATCCCTCAACATGGAAACATCTCTGGGGAATGATGCAACTTGACAGATGGGACAAACCAAGTTACTAAGGAGACAATAGTAGCAAAGGATAGTCCAGAATCTAGGGACTATCACGGATCCATTCTTACAGAAATTTGCAGGTACGAGGAATGAGAAACACCAAATGACACTCCTTGTTTGAGTGAGCAATAAATGTCCGGTCTTTGCTTCCGTAAGGATCCAACGCCTGCAGCGGAAGTGAGAAGGTAAAGCTATAGCCAGTTTTTATTCCAAGAGAGCTCACGGCACTGTGAAATAATTTACACAGCTCCCCTCTGGACACCAAATAATCCCAGAAAAGGTTCTGTTTGCTGAGACATAATCTCTGTGCTACTGCAAAGCAGTGCAATTTGCACTGCCCTTAAACAGGCATGTAGACAAACTTGACAACCTAACTTTGCAACGTTCTTAACAATCATGAGCACAGCTTCCAAAAGTGTACCAAAACCACAACAGTTCTCATCATTCCCTGAACATGTGCCCCGGAGGATTTCATTGCACATATCTTTATAGATATTTTGAAAAAAATAGTGCATGCAACATAACCATAGTAATTCAAGTGCTAAGAAGATACGAAAAGGTTGTAAAGGTTACCGAATGTCCTCTGACTCTGCCCCGTAACAGCTCTCACAGCGATCGGCATCCAAAGAATTTGGATCAAGCACTTTTTCTTCTTCCTTCCCCAGCTCTAAGGCAAAAGAGGATTCAAAGTGATGAGGCATGTCTAGAAATGCTATCTTGTACTCTTGTTTTGTTCTACACACAGTAATTGTTCTGCCCAGGAATGCAACAATTTTGTGTCGTAACCTGCACATCCTGCACTCAAAGCCCACCTAAAATGGTACGCATACAGCCTGTTGAAGAGTGAAGCAAGACCAGGCAGCAGAGCAGCATTTGACATCTCAAGAACACCCTCCAAAGAAAGAATTGGTTATCTGTAAGCCTTGCTGGAGCACTGATCAGTTGTTACTCGCATAAAGGCTTTGTTAAAACATTATTTAAAGTAGATCCAATCAGTAAATCGCAAGTGACACAGGACCAGGTACACAAACAAAATTTTAGAGAGCAGTCAACAGTGCATAACGCATAATCCTGTCCCAAGATGTGCACGGAACATGGTTACATATCAGTGTGAAACAGTATCAGAGCGGGAGTCTCCCAAGTGGAAAAATTACACCCGGTGCACCAGGATGACAATGCTGACAAGGCACACGTTAACCACTGCTCACTAAAAATCTACCAGGAGTTTCTACCTTCTTCATGACTTCACAATTCTGACAATGTCTGTGTCACACGCATGTTGAATACACAGCCGCATTACAGCTGGGGCACGAACTCATGGAGTTTTATGTTCTTATGTGCAGAAGGCTGAAGAGGGACTTGTAACAGAGATGACAGCTGGTGACAGCTGAAACCCGCCAAAGGGCAGGAGATGCCCACAGAAAACTCAAACAGGACTTTTGTTTTGTCAAGAACCAAAACAAATATCAAAGGTCTGCAAATTTTGGCATTAGGAGTAAGTGAGCCAAGGAATCTTGTGTTTAAAATTTTCAAAAACATTGGCTCTTTTTATAAGAGGCCCCCTTAAAATCAGACTGTTTCAACTCACAAATACTGAAGGACAGGACCAAGTCTCTTGGGTTACAAAAGCCTTCTAAGGCTCGCTATCTAGGCACTGCTGCACCGCCCTCTCTAAGCCTTGAAAAGGTGGCTCCTTGGATAACTAATGCTGGGGAAGGCAATATGGTACATAGTCAAACACTGCTGAACGGATAAAATGTTATCAGGGCCTTGTTTGTTGAGATTGGGAAGTATAGCAGGTGGATGGAAGTGAGTATTAAAGGTGTCCATATTTCATATTAGCTGCAGAAAAAAGATTTTAACTACAAAGTATGAAATATACATGAAAAATCAAACATTAACCTTATTTCTTTAATCAAATACTTTATGATAGTTATGATCAAGCAAATAACTTTTTGGGAAATATACCCATTATTAATCAACTGTGCGAGACTTACTTTCTAAAGCTTACAACATTCAACGTAGTTGAAAGCGCACTTAAGAATTCATTGTTTAAAAAAATGGAATGGCTTTTATTCCTGTAATTACACTAAAAGATAGTGTCAGGAAGAAAACAGCTTAACAATCGCTAAGCTTTGTCAAAGCCATGATTTCCAACATTCGAACAAGGACACCTGTACAATACATGGAGTCTTTCAAGATACAGCAACCAGTATAAGTCTGTTGAGTTGCCTCACAGGCAGCATCCGGAGGTAATGCACGCAGATTAGATACTATAGAGAAACTGTAGTACATTGAACTTTACATGCAGGGTTTCTTGCTGTTAACATGGTCCTCAAATTGCATGCAGATGTGATATGTGAAATTGGAAAACTCTGTCCACGTTAAAAGGAAGGAAATAAGAACAACCAATAAAGAATTCAATCATTTATTATCATTCAGTGGAAATGAGTAAGGCGAAATCCAAGCACAGAATGCAAGTACCATAGAAATCATTAAGCTATTAACTATTTTAATGCAAATATGATTAGGAAAAGCATCCAGATACTACTCCATAAAATTTGGGTATGCTTTACTAAATTTAAGGTCATGTCGTAGCTTAACCCCAGCTGGCAACTAAGTGCCACATAGCCGCTTGCTCACCTCCCCCTGCTGGGATGAGGGGGCGGGATCAAAGAATAAACATGAGAAAACTCATGGGTTGAGATAAAGACAGTTTAATAGGTAAAGCAAAAGCCACATGCACAAGCAAAGCAAAACAAAGAATTCATTCACTACTTCCCATCAGCAGGCAGATGTTCAGCCTTCTCCAGGAAAGCAGGGCTCCATCACACGTACTCTGAACATCCCCCATTTCCTTCTTCCCCCCAGCTTTATATGCTAGGCATGTTGTCGTATGGCATGGAAAATCCCTTTGGCCATTTTGGGTCAGCTGTCCTGGCTGTGTCCCCTCCCAGCTTCCCAAGCACCCCCCACCTTCCCATTGGCGGATCAGAGCATGAGAAGCTGAACAGTCCTTGACTGCTTAGCAACAAGTAAAAACATCAGTATGTTATCAACATTATTTTCATCCCAAATTCAAAACATAGTCTCATATTAGCTTCTATGAAGAAAATTGACTCTAACCCAACCAAAACCGGCACAGGTCAATATTGCTATATAGTTGCCATTTATAAGTGCCACATAGCCGCTTGCTCACCTCCCCCTGCTGGGATGAGGGGGCGGGATCAAAGAATAAACATGAGAAAACTCATGGGTTGAGATAAAGACAGTTTAATAGGTAAAGCAAAAGCCACATGCACAAGCAAAGCAAAACAAAGAATTCATTCACTACTTCCCATCAGCAGGCAGATGTTCAGCCTTCTCCAGGAAAGCAGGGCTCCATCACACGTACTCTGAACATCCCCCATTTCCTTCTTCCCCCCAGCTTTATATGCTAGGCATGTTGTCGTATGGCATGGAAAATCCCTTTGGCCATTTTGGGTCAGCTGTCCTGGCTGTGTCCCCTCCCAGCTTCCCAAGCACCCCCCACCTTCCCATTGGCGGATCAGAGCATGAGAAGCTGAACAGTCCTTGACTGCTTAGCAACAAGTAAAAACATCAGTATGTTATCAACATTATTTTCATCCCAAATTCAAAACATAGTCTCATATTAGCTTCTATGAAGAAAATTGACTCTAACCCAACCAAAACCGGCACAGGTCAATATTGCTATATAGTTGCCATTTAAATAACTGACAATGTCAGTGTTACTAATATAAACTGATAATCATAGCGTTTAATGAAGATGGGCAGATACTTCTGATCTAACTTGCAACATGGGTGATGGAAACCGAACTAGCTCTGCGTGCTTTTTCCAGACAATAGAAATTGCTAATTGTGTGCAATGCATCTGATCTCTTGTAAAACGTCTCCTCTAGGTGAGACAGTTTGCTCTCTACAAGTTCCTCTTCCTCTCCACTGGTTATATGAGGCATCACAGCAACCAGTTCAGCAGAGTAATCCCGATAGAGATTGGCAATACAAGTAAGGCAGGAAGCCTACATGTGTTAACAGAGAATTAGATACAGAAAAGGTGTTTTTGTTCCCAGGCGTTAAATTTGTAGTGCCACAACCTCTGAATACAGAAGGGCTGCTAAGTCACACAATAGTAAGAACACTATCACCACATTCCCATGACAACGGGAGAAACTCTTGCACCTACCAATTGTTCAGCTCTTGGCTTAGTTTAGACTTTCAACTTCAGGAACAGAAAAGTTAAATCTCAGTGATACAAATCAAGAAATTTAGTTCATGCTGATACGTAGAACTACACTATCTCCCAGAAAAGGTAATAAGGAGCTCATGTTTTGGAAAGGAAAAGTCAAGGCAGTATCACTTTTAGATTGCAACACTTTGTCAGAACAGTTTCTGGTTTGTATCAGGGTACAATGATGAGTCATAACATGTAAAAAATGTAAAGGAGAGCTTTATGTAGCCAAGATCCACTTACTACAATTTGTAACTGATAAAGCAACTAAAATATATTTATTGCGTATGCATTAAGACACCCAAAGTAAACATAGTGAAGTGCAAGTTTAGGCATAAGGGTCGAGTCACTGGAGGCTTCCCTGGAGACAGGCTCTTTCCTCTAACCAGGTCGTCCCATTCGCTAACCCACTGTGATTTAACAATACAACCGAAGTCAAGTTTTGCCAGGACAGCTGCTTGATTTCTAGCCATAAGACCATTAACTCAGCAGCTTTATTCCTGAAATGCATCCATGAGTCCTTGACGTACTTTCAGAGGGACTAGGCAAAGATTTGCCTCAGAAAAGCAGCAAGTATAACAGGAGTTTGTCTAACTTGCCAGTTTACTAGATTTGCATGCCATCAACTCCTCAAGAGTTTATGGTGTTTAAATGCTCTCCAGCTGTCCCTTGTTCCAGCAACTCTCAAAATGGGCATACAGTGATGGAAAGACTATGAGAGCATCCATTCAAGAAAGGCAGAAAAGCATCTTACCGTGTCTCTCTGCCTCTGGAGTCACACGATTGCCAGCTTTATCCAAACGCTGTTTAAACAGATTGTGCTCCACATCCAGCTGCTGCTCTCCTGCTACATCCATAGCATCGATGCTCAAATCTGAAACCCACAAGCAGGGAAAGTGGTCTATAAACATTCATTTGCTATGGCCTGTGGCAGGCTGAGGAAGCATTCAACCTGTGAAAATACCAAATCTTTCAGCCAGGGGGATAAGAATGTGCCAAACTTGAAGAGCGTGGATGGCTGGGGCCAAGTGACATATAGGGAATAAAACACACCTTGCAGCACCCCAAATGACCCTTCCAAATACTGGGGTTGGTTTGGTGTACAAGAAGGACTGTTTCCAACTACCACAGAAAGCATTACCCTGAAAGGTAAATACACTTAAAGCAAAAAACCAAAACCGAACCCCTCAAAGCCCATAACTATTTTCAGTAGTTCAGGAGCTAAGCTTAAAATTGGTTGAAAGCTGCCTCCTACATCTACCCCCTCATCCTTTCCCCTTCAACATCAGCACATTTCCTTGTGACCCCTTTGCACAAAGAAGACTGAGGAGGTCTGTGGTCTCAGCCTGGTATCAAAGCACTGTGATGCACTTGTGGCTATGTGCTCTCTTATAAGACTGACAGCTTCTCTGCACGTAACAGCAGAGGCTTCCAGTCTCTCTGGCCTTCCCACGCCCTTTGAAATGTGAGGAAGGCAATGACCAATAATATCTTGGGTGGCCAGAAGGAAGTCAGACTCACTACATTCAGAGCCATTACCCAAAGGAATTACTACAACAGAACAAGAGACAGGGAAGATTAGTGGGCAGTTGGATAATGGGCACAGCAGTAACACCCAGTAAGACTTGCAAAATCTTCTGTCACTTCATCCTGCGACTTTGTTTTGAATTTAGTTAAAAGGTAATCATATTATTAATGCTCATTTTGATTTTAAAAACTCTGGAGAAAGATTATTACGTGACAGTCAAATTTAACTACAAAAATCACAAAAGACACTACAAAAGTTGCTCCTTGTCAAGTGATTTCCTCTATTTTTTCAACAACAATACAGTCATATCTTCAGTCCCAAGATGTGACAGCTTCTTCAGTATTACTGAGCTCTCTGACAAAGTATACCACCATACAGAACTGTAAGTGGGTTTATACCTTAGCCTCATTTATAATCTAGAAGAATAATACTGCCTGACTGGCAGCGCAGGTTTAAGCGCACACCAGGCCTGGCTGGAATCACTGCATAACCACGAGGGATCACCAGTTCCTCCCTGTTGTGGCCCATGCAGCAGCGCAGCACTCAGAAGCGCCAAACACACTGAGCCTGCTGGGACCTTGGCAACTGCGAAAATTATCCCCAGTATTCAGATGTTGGACTCACAAGCACAAGGCATATGTGGAAAAATAACATCTAGATTGATCTGCAGTTTCTCTCCCCTTGATTTGTCAACGTACAATTCCGGATGAACCTAGGAATGAAGAGAAAACAAAGAGTCCTGTTTCACTCGGAAGCAAATCAAAAGGCCTCTTTCCC